GTCAAACAATACACCTGGGTCAGAACTTCTAGGTTTTCTCATCCAGCAACATCATTCCTCCCATTCACTCAAACAATACACCCGGGCCAGAACTTCTAGGCTTTCTCACTTTGCTTCTAGCAACACCAGAACTTCTAGGCTTTCTCACTTTGCTTCCAGCAACACCAGAACTTCTAAACTTTCTCATTATGCTTCCAGCAACACCAGAACATCCTTTCCGTTTTCTGAACCCCCCCTGACGTTAATGTTATATATTTATCTTATTTTCTTTACTTTATTATTTTTATTATTATAATTATTTTTATTAATAAAAAAAACCAAAAATATATTTAAATTATTTAGATTATTTTTATTTAACTTCTCACAATGAAAAAGACCAAAAACATTTTCCTTTTTTTTTTTTTTAACTTAATCTTAATTTTTCTTTAGTTTAATTAAATTTCCTTTTAGTTAAATAGGCCAAAATCTCTCTTTAACAAAATCAAAACAAATTCATTTTCTTTTCATTCATGTCTTGTATATTATATTCCTTTCAATTATTGTACATTATTCAAGTTCAATATAGTTGTAATAGATAATTAGGTTTAATTTCTTGCAATCCCTATTTATAAATTTGTACACCCCATCCCCAAATGATGTAATAGCGTAGGACATTTATTTTCCACAATTTACCGCTTTTCATATAAATGCTAGCAATTAGGATTTGTATGTGTGATACGGTGGCAGAACCAACTGTTAATACTGGTTTGCATTTTTTGTTCGCAAATTTCGCGGTAAGTAAGAGTCGCCATCGAATTTTCTTTTACCCAACAAAGGAAAGAGTGAAAAGAACAGAAAAAGACCTTTTTTGAATTTTTCTGAGTAAGGGGGGTAGATTATGGAAATGGAAGGTGTTAGCATCCTTTTCATCTGTGGTTTTCCACGGGCTCTTAGGTACTTGCTCATTTTTTAAAACTGTTTGTGTTTGTGCATTTTGAAAGATTTTGTTTGCTTTATGATAACTCTTGTATCAGTCCTCAAGAGTGTGATAAAGCGTTTTTGAAAGTAGTTTTTGAAAGTGTGTAAGTGTAAAAGAAGATTTGAGCAAGTACTTAAGAGTTATCTACCTACTCGAAAAAAGACGTTCTTTTCCTCCTTTCTTTTAGATAGTGCTATCCTACTATTAGTGAGTAGGTAGCCCTATCGTCGAATGTTAAGGGACATTCAAAGGGATGTTTTACAGTCATAAAGGCAACATACGGAGACGCTTTAACAACTTTTGTTTAAGGGACGAGATCATTTACCGAAAGGCAACACTGTAAGGGTCATCGAGGAACTATGATCTTTTGATTTTACGGGTCTTTGCTAAAGCGTCCCCATTCTCGAGGGACATGAATGCTTTTCCAAAGGCAGCGGGAAATCTGGGTCACGATCGTGCGGGTTGTACCAAAAGAGATGTCCTAGACTGGGCCCAGTCAAGCTGTCGGGCCAATTCAGATCATAATTCATTTCATAATTGATTTTATCGGTTGATCAGAACTTGTAAGTGGACCAGAGGATGACGTCTGGTTTGTTGGAAAGTTGAGGAGAAAAAGGGATTGTACCTGCAAGGCACTTCGACGATCAAGTAAGAATGGGTGCAAAGAGATACAGGAAATATATTAGGGTTTTAGGTTTGAATATTAGATACCTGGCCTCACATGTGTGATAATTTATATAATGCCTCTGACGCTTGACCATTGGTCCCTATTTTTGAGCCTAGATATGCGGGTCCACAAAAATAGGTAATTGCCAGAACTTGGTCAAAATAGACAGTTGTGCCTGTAACTAGCCGTTGCATCGAACAAGGATGGGGTGACGAGCATAAGCATTTATGAGTGTTTCCTGTGTGTCTGTTCTTTGTGTGTTAAGAAGACTGAGAGGTGACCGTCCGCATGGGCAGACGCGTGTTTCAGGCATCATTGATCTTGCCGCTTGAATGTGCGGTCGACCAGAGATGCTAGGCCAATGTTGTTGGGTCATGTCAAGGATAGAAGCGGACTTAGTCAATTCTAGTTATTGGGGCAGTCCAGAATAATAATCAAGTCAAATTACACTATATGATCCTTCTAAAAACATATCACTTTATCATAAAACCAAAATTACATATCAAGAACATAATGGATCTTTCAAATTACACCAAAATTGTTATAAAATAAAACCTAATCAAATAATTCCTAATCAACTATAAACCTTTTCATTAGTGTTGAAACAACTAAGGCGAATAACACAATGATGGTGATCATCTAGTTGAACTTCAATTGCTTCTTTAAAAATTTCATTTTCATCTTCATTTCTTCATCTTTAATGTTTACATCTTTAACCTTTTTCTTCTCTTCATTTAAATTATGTAGTAGTGAGAAGATAAATTACTTTGCTCTAAGGTTCATTTCTTCGTCCAACCAAACAAAATGAGTGCACTTCTTTTAGCCTTGCAACCAGATACATCAATGGAGAATAAAGAAAATACATCAACGCCGACATGGTTAAAACAAAATAACATCAAAATAAACATAGATAAAATCATACCTTATGCATCCCAAAATCACTACAACGACGACTTGAGTTTGCATCAGTCGACATCGTCATCAATGGAGCATCAAAACTGCATTTGCATTCATATCTCAATGAACAAAATATGTTGTTATTGTTGGAAACTAATTTTTGAGATATTTTAGATTTAGAGAATTGGGTTGGAGGAAGAATACGACGAAAGAATGGAAGTATGTGTTCCTCGCGGTTGATTTGATTTCTAAAATTCGTTGCAGTTGCAGGTAATAACAGAGAGAAAGTATCCGTGTTTTTCGTGAAGCTCAATTTTTTCTCCAACTCAAACTTTTTCTCCATTTAATTATAAACTTAAATGTCAGTTTCAATTAAAAATATTATAATAATTGTGAAAACAAATAATTTCAATTAAAAATGAGATAAAATATAACTTAACTACACTGTAGCAATGTCACACCACTAATGAGAAAATCAACTGTGCAAAATTGGAGAGGACCAACTAAAAGGGATGTAAAGTTAAACAACTGAAAATAACATTTTTAAAATAAGACTAAAGATTAAAAATCATGAAATTGAAGACCAAAAAATGCATTTAAATATATAAAGAATAACTTAAATAGAGAAGAATAAACTTTTTTAAAAAATGAACTTAAAATAAAATAATGAATAACTTAAAAATAATATAAATAGATAATCTTAAAGATAAAGAGAAACACATATTCTAAATCTAAACAAATAAAAAAGTATAACAAAATAGAAGTTACAAAATAAAGAAAGAAGAGAATAACATAAAGAAATGAAGTAAGAAGAGAAGAAATACAAATTTTAGTAAATAAATAAATTAAGCAAAACCACGACGTCAAACAACCAATAAAATACATGAAAAGACGTGATTGTAGAGATAAATGATGTCATATGAGAATACACAGGAAGAAGGAACGAAAAAATGCATAACACATAGACAAAAAAAAATGACAAATGAATGAAGATACATAGATTAAATTAGTATATCAGTTATTGAAATGCAAAAATGTCAATAATACTATCAACAAATAAAAAACATTAAAAATAATGAGATTTCAGGAGTTTTGTATGTAACCCTAATAACGATTAAGAAAACGTTATTCAACTGTTATTGACGTGACTTTATAAGATAGGTAACATACATGGTTAAGCAAAAGTGACAAAATTTTGTTGAGATTGAAAAGGGGAGAATCTTATGACTATGATCTTTAGGTTCCCTTTAAACACTTGGAGTGGGGTCCACATACACAACATGAGATGTAAATGTCTTTTTATTATATGCCTTTTGCATGGACCGATCAACACTTAGTCAGCCGATCCATTCCCTTTCTCTCTCCTCTCTCTAGAAAGAACAAAACAACACTAATCCCTTTCTCTTTCTCTGTCCATGATTTTCGCCGGAATCCAATTCCTCCGCGTGTACCTCTGAATCAGTGCACTCTCGGTACCTCAAATTCCCAAACTTTATTCAAATTATATTCCTTTTGTTCTTCTGTTTCTTTTCTTCCAACGAATACATGTACTGTGCCATTTAAGTTTGGTTGAAACCTTTTGAGTTTTTGAGAATTACCCATTTTTTGTTTTCCTATTTTGTATGTGGGTTTGTCTTTTCTTTCACTTTGTTGCCTTATTTACGGTTAAAGTTTGTTTCTTTATGCGTCTCCAATCACTCTGCTTTTTACTGGGTTGTGAAATTTACGTTTCTCTTGTTGTTGTTATTCTCGTTTTCTTAATTGGGCTGTTTTTTTTCTTTCTATCTCTATAGATATTTTAGTGCCCTAATAGTGTTTATAGGATGAGGAATTGCTGTTATGTGGGTTTTGTTTTTGTTTCTATTCTATATTGGGGTTGGCTTGGATGATTTTCTTGTGGGAATATTCATTTCATGACTTGTCTGACCATGTTATTTATCTGTTTTGTTTGACCTTTTTTTCTGATAAATGAAAAGAATTTGCTTGAAAATTTGTTTGTTGGGACATGGGGGAGTGGACACTCTTTATTCTTTGATTGTGGTTGTTTTGCTTCAGCAATTGTATTGTTGACTTAAGTTTCTAGCTTATAGGAGCTTGTTAATTAGATGAGTGCTTTTACACAAATTAAGATGGTTAGTGTTTACATTCGTGTAGTTGTTTTACAATTCTTTTGTTATTTTGCATATTATTACTTGTGGACAAATTATTCATCAGCTTTTCTGTCAAGATGTATATTGATGACGGTGAGCCATAGTTATAACTATGACACGTCCGCATCGCTTGTTTAGACTTGATGCTAGTGACTGTTAATAATGTTTCAGAAATATGGTTTCTCAATATAACGATAATTTCGTAGTGTAATTTTCGTGTTGTTCCCACTTGTGTATAATTGATTTATTGTTTCTCGAATACATTTGATACTGAGTTAATTTGCAGATATAAGTCTCACTTCAAAGGAAAGTTACTACTTGGATAATAATGGGGGCGTCTAGCTCCAAATTGGATGATGATAAGGCACTCCAACTGTGCCGCGAAAGGAAGAAATTTGTTAGGCAGGCACTTGATGGGCGTTGCTCGCTCGCAGCAGCCTATGTTTCATATGTCCAGTCGTTGAAAATTGCAGGAACAGCTCTGAGGAAGTTCACAGAACCTGAAGCGCCAATTGAATCTTCCTTGTATACGTCCACTAATGCAACACCCGAGCCACTTGTTTTTAATGAGAAAACCCCATCTCAGTTCTCATTCTCTTCACCATCTGCATCACAACGCATTGATCCACTTGAAAACTTTTCTCCAACGCCCTCTCCTCCCAGCTCAACTAAGTTCCAAGCTAATCATATGAGGTTTAGCAGTAGTTCATCTAAAAAGGTAGAAGAAAACCCACCTGCACCTGTTATAGGAACAGTAACATCATCGGCTGCTCCACACAATGTCACTCCCTTTTCTACCGAAAGGCCTGAAACATCAGCTTTTGAAGATTCTTCACTTCTAAATGGAACTCAACCATGGGATTTTTTTGGTCTTTTTCATCCTATGGACCATCAGTTTTCTTTTCAAGAAGGAAAGGGAACGCATCAAGATACGGGAATTGCCGATGATATAACAAGGTTAAGGGAGGAGGAAGGGATTCCTGAATTGGAGGACGATGAAGAGAAGGTTTCTTCTCGAGGAAGTGAGATCTCTCATGATTCTGAAGATGAATTTGATGATGAGCCTGCCACAGATACCCTCGTCCGAAAATTTGAAAACTTTAATAGAGTAAATGACCATGTTCAAGCCAATGGATTTCATGGCACAGATAAGCCTCGAGCAGGGGATTCGGTTGTGAACGGGGAGAAGGAGAGCTTCGCCTCTCCTGATGTATCACCACTAAAGATAGCAACTTCTGTATCAGCGCTTCCAACTGAAGCCAATAAGTCAGTTGAGAAAGAAAACCACTCTGAAAATAAAGTTGCACCTAAGGACTTTTTTGCAAGCATGAAAGAAATTGAATATCTCTTTGTTAGAGCATCTGAATCTGGCAAAGAGGTTCCAAGAATGCTTGAAGCAAATAAGTTGCACTTTCGTCCAATATTTCCGGGCAAAGAAAGTAATTCCTATAGCTCTTTATTCTCCATATCTTCATGCATAAATGTGTATTATTGAGATTCTGATACCTGTATGACTAAAATGTCCTATTGTTGTTCTCAGGGTTAAAAAATTAATATTTCTGAGTTTTTTTTTTTTTTAATTTTCATTTACTTTACTTCAACATGAATGTTTAACCATGAAAGTTCTTAATTGTAACAGATGCTTCGATGGGGTCCTCATTTTTGAAGGCTTGTTTCTCATGCGGGGAAGACCCAACTCAAGTTGCAGAAGGTATTCTTATTGTTCTTTTTGTTTTTGCTCTTTAATGTTACCCGGACTCTGCCAACCATCTTGCGTTGCATTAGCTGTTATTAAATATTGATACTGTTAGAAATGTTCAAGAAATTATTGAAAATTTTATATTAAATTCATATAGTAGTGTGTTTCTATTCGGCCTTTGTTCTTAATATGATTCGTGTTCCTAACTTTCTTTTTTTCTCATATTGGTAATCAAGTGCTTTTTGACGTGTCATGAGAATAGTTGCTCATGAAGCGCAATCTATACATACATTATGCTCATTGTTGTTTGTTGAAAACTGTTTTGTGAATCCCCTGTGACTTTTTATGTAAATTTTTCATAGAACCTGCTCAAAACTCGGTAAAGTACTTAACATGGCATAGGACAATGTCATCTCGATCCAATTCATCCAGAAATCCTTTGGGAGCAAACTCAAAAGATGATATAGACAACCACACAAATAATCTCTTTGATAATTTCTGTATGATCTCTGGAAGCCATGCATCAACCTTGGATAGATTATTTGCTTGGGAAAGAAAGCTCTATGATGAAGTCAAGGTACTGTGTACTCTGTATTTCTTATCATCAATGAAAATTTCTCTATATATTTGCTAATTTCATTCTTTATTTCTGCTAATTGCAGGCTAGTGGGGTGATCAGAAAGGAATATGACACCAAGTGTAACATCTTGCAGCATCTGGAATCAAAAGGAGAAAAGACTTCTACGATTGATAAAACCCGTGCTGTAGTTAAGGATCTGCATTCAAGAATCAGAGTTGCTATTCTTAGGATAGATTCTATATCTAAGAGGATCGAGGAATTGCGGGACAAAGAACTTCAGCCACAACTTGAGGAGTTAATTGAAGGGTATGATTCTTTGGATTCATCTTGTTTTACTAAGGATCTTCTTCATGCGATTAACATGTTATGCTATAATAACGTTTGAATATGGATCAACATGTTATGCTAAATATCAACTTGTTGCTTTAGTGTTTCATACAATTCTATTTTGCTTTGATGCAGGTTAAGTCGGATGTGGGAAACTATGTTTGATTGCCACAAGCTCCAGTTTCAGATTCTGTCAACAGCATATTACAACAATCATGCTAGAATCACATTGCATTCCGAACCACATAAACAAATTGCTTCCTATCTTGAAAGTGAACTCCATTTTCTAGCATCAAGTTTTACGAAGTGGGTTGGAGCTCAAAAATCTTATCTAGAAGCTATAAATGGATGGCTGAACAAATGTGTTTCTCTTCAACAAAAAACAGCCAAGAAAAAAAGAAGGCCTCAACCTCCACTCCTCAGAATGTACGGTCCGCCAATTTACGCGACCTGTGGTATTTGGTTGGATAAGCTTGGTGAATTACCTACCCAAGAAGTTGTAGATTCCATCAGGAGTTTAGCTAGCGAAACTTCCCGATTCTTACCGCGTCAAGAGAAGAGCCATGCTAAAGTTACAAAACATCCTCACGTAGCATCATCCTGGAACACAGACATCGGCAACGGGTCATCAGATAATCTATTGGGAGACGACGCATCGGAGGACTGGATGTCGGGTTTTGATCAGTTTCGAGCAAGCTTTATAAGATTTCTTGGTCAGTTAAATAATTTTTCCGGGTCTTCTGTCAAGATGTACACGGAACTTAGACAAGCCATTCAGCATTCCAAGACTCATTATTATCATCATAGATCAAATTCTCAGACTCAAGATCATCATTCAAAGCCAGAATCTCAAGTTGAAGAGTCTGAGAATCAAAATTCCAAACAGTAAAAAAGATAATTGCATTAGACACAAGAAATGCATTTTTGACTTTCATATAAGCCCTTTGGATGTGGCATTGGCACATGAGAAGGAGGGAATACAAACTTCATTGGTTGGTCATACTTAATATTATAGTTTAATCATTTCAATAATAAAAGGGAGTGGTAAAGTTACAGGTTAGGGAAATGTTGTAATTACAGGGTTTCTGTTAAGTATACAAAAAGAAGGAACTTGTAAAGTGTCATTTTTGTACACAAAGCGTGTCTTGTAGGACTTTAATTCGTATCTATATAAAAATATGAATTTATGCATGAGTTTTTCTCTTCTCAACCCTTGAAAACTCAAATTATCCTAGAATTGACAAAATTATTGTCTAGACTCTAGATTTATAGTATGTCTTTGAACAAACGTTTTGGATTATAGAATCTGTACTATTTACAAAATGAAGAAAATACAGTTTAAATGACTATATTCATATTCAATGGTGTATTTTAGATTTTACAATTCAAATAAGATTAATGGGGTGTGTTTGGATTATATAATCCAAATTTGTGTCGGACCGAAAATAAGGAAACAACAAAAATAACTATATCAACTGAAGATAAGAAAATAACAAAAATAACTATCAAAGTTAATGGTGATTTAATAAATATAACAAAATATCATTTTATGTATGTTATTTTTTTTTTAACAAACATTAACATATATACTTTTTTTTTTTAATATACATTAACATACATAAATTCTCTTGATGGATGTTATCTACATATTGTATATATTTTCAATTTCAATTAATCTTTAATGATTTTTTTTTGGATTATGGCTTATTTACAGCGGTGAGAAATCTTGTTTGACTGTCTATTTCTTAGGAATTTATGGATATGATTCTGCATATGCATTTATGGACTAAGGAAATGTTATTGTCCACGTTTCTCCTTAGGGCAGCTCTATGCTACATGAGGTTTATACTTCAGGCGGCACATCATGGGGCGGATACCTAGTAAAGGATATATGTCGTTCCATTTGTGGACCATCACAAATATATCACTACACAATCTCTTAGGCACGAGGGATTGAAAAGGGAGACATGACTTAAACTTATCATTTCATTCAGTTGAATCCTGTAGTTAGGGGCGAGTCTCTCAGTTGGAGGCGACTCCCTCAATTAGGGGTGAGTCCCTCAGTTGGAGGCGACTCCCTTAGCTAGGGGTGACTCATCATCCCATGTTAGGTGTGTCCTGAGTAACCAATGTATCAGCTGAATATGTCAAACATCAATCACTCAAATGGAAAACACTTGATTTATTTAATGTAAGTAATGGTGGTTTATACTCTAAACGCTAATCAATCTTAGTATATGCATGTGTCAAAAGCATGCTAAGCCCTTTTAAAGCTTTAGGGGAGCCGAAAAGGTTCTTTGGACATTTGTAGCTTCATGTCCTTTATAGAAGGCTCCCTTATTTCCCTTTTCATTTCTTTATTTATCTTACTCACCTAATTTTCTACAACTTTCTTCTGGATTTTCTGCCCGCACAAACTTCCTCCACATTCGCAACCTTTTCAGGTATTTGATTCCTCCTTCCTCCCCCCTCTTTAATAGATATGGTTAGGGTTTTAGGTCGACGTAGATTTTTAGTTCTATTAGATCGAGGGCTTTCGGTAGTCTTGTTGGCAATTTTGATGGTGCTAGTGATTTATTTTTATTCTACCGTGTTTCTAAAAACAAAGAGATAATGGTTGTCCCCTCCGTTGTGTCTAAAGAAGTCAAAGATATTGGACCCTCTTATACCACTGAAGATAAGACCATCTTTTTTTGGACGAAAATGAACATCTCTTCTTTAGAGGACACATAGAGGGTCCTTTTGGAAGCCTATTCACCATCAGATAAGTTTTTGAGGATTTGTGATTTAAAATTTTTAAGGTTCTAAAGAAGAATACGAATGTGAAACCAAGTTCTTCCCCTTTGCATAAATAAGAAAATATTTGTTTTCTTATATTTAATAATAATAGTAATAATAATAATAATAATAATAGTTTATTACTTATTAAATTTAATAATTGAAAATATAAAATGGAATTTTTGTATTATTTTATGGAGAAAACTTAGATACAATTCTTTAGGTGTGTTTTTATTAATTTCTAAGAAAAATATAATAAGTGTATAATTTCCTCCTACACATATGCAATTTTCTCCTATTTTTACTCCCTAAACCATATTTAAGTACATTTGTCATATTTTCATTGGAAAATAATAAAAATCACACCTAAAAATTGTATTTAAGTTTTCTCCTTATTTTATTGACCTATCAAAAACTTTAATGACGTGGCGTTAGATACTCAGGGTCACATCTTAATTTGAGGCTCCAGTTACACAAAATTAGAGGAGGACTAAAAAAATATCCTAAAAGAGTTAAATAGAGGGACAAAGGCTCAATTTCTTTAAAGGGAACTAAAAATAAAAATGCTTAAATGCATTTTTAGTCCCCCTATAATTAGTTTCCTAACATTTTAACTCCTCTTTAAAAAAATCAGCTATTAGGTCTTCCAATATCATTTTTGGTGAATTTTTGTTGGTCCCTTGCCACCTGTCTCCTATTTTAATGACATGGCACCCCAAGATGAAACCAGACACTTGTCACATCATTAAAACCATTTTATTATTCATTTTTTATTTGTATTTGTATTTTTTATTTTTTTCAAAAATAATTTATTTAATTATAAAGAATAAAATAACATTATTTCACTCCAACAATCATCTTCGCTCATTCCACCATTTTCGTTCATCTTCTTTAAGTGGAAACCCTAAAATTGTTAACTTTTAGAATCGAAGAAGATCCATAGTGAAAATCGTATATGTTGTTGCAATGCATCAACCACCACCTTCATCCAAGACGCACAAAGACAACTAGTTCGGTCTCAGGTATGTATTTTTGTTTTAATGTCTATGTTAGATGTCCCAACGTGTCTTGTTCCTAATTTTTTGTTTGTGGTCCTAATTTTTTTAAACCCTATTTTTTTATCGTAAAAGTTGATTATGGTCTCAATATGTGTAAACCCGTAATTGTTTAATCTGAAACCCTAACCATGAAATTTGTCGTATACAGGCCACCTGCTGAAAAGAAAGTTAGGCTCAGAATTCACTATTGGGGCACACTTGTTCAGCCTCTTGTTAAATGGTATCTGGATGGCTTAGTAACAAAAATGACTTGGGGCTGGGATGTTGATTATATGTCTTACATATAGCTGGAGAAATTGATTCATCAAGTGGAATATACAAGCATGAAGTGTCTTTGGTATGTGTAAGTGTTTGGTTGTTGGCATGTTTTTTGGTAAAACCAGGTGTGTGAATGTCATGACTGATGTCATAACATTCTGGGTTACTAGGTACATTCTGCAGAAAAAGGATGTCATACAGAAGCTGCTTAAATTGAGTGTTTAGCTGATCATCATGCAATGATCATATTTATTACACTCTACCAAAATCAGTAAACAGGATTCTTGTTGTCATAACCAATGTTAAGACATCCTGTACTGATCTAACAGTTGTACAGTTTTGTTAATTCTGAGATTTTTCAGGAAACTGGTTTACACAGTCCAGTACAAAGTCTCACGTGGACTTTAGGTTAACTTGGCTTAACCCTAATCTGGTTGATAAAGTCCTGTGACAAAGTCTTGAGGTTAATTAACCCTAGCTTTTTTCGTGGAAGCCCTAACTGAAGAACAGCGACCTATATATTCAACAGGACGACTGTTGGTGAAGAGGACTTTTTGATAGAAGATCAATAAGGGGCTGTATAGTTTTAACTACTGTAATCCAAGCAATTATCATTGTGATAAGTGACTTAGAGTAGGTCTTGATTGTAAGGGTTGTGTATCACTCAAAGCTTTGAAGCACGAGTGTTTGTGTCACTTGATTAAAGCTTTGAAGCAAAGTCAAGTTAGGTTATGTATCACTCAAAGCTTTGAAGCACGAGTGTTTGTGTTAGTTGATTAAAAGCCGTGAAGCATAATCAAGTGTATGTTCTGAAGAGTGTCTTCATAATTTCGTTAGTAAATTGTTTAGTATCACTGCTGTGATTAAGGGGGAGTGAGTAGGAACTCAGGTTTAAGTTGAACTTAGATTGAAGTTGCATTGGGTAGGTCTTAAGTGAAGGAGATAAACTGGTTGGTTTATTCCTGAATTAATATCTCTTATAGTGAATTTCCTCCCTGGCTTGGTAGCCCCCAGAGTAGGTGTTGTTACACACTGAACTAGGTAAACAATTGACTGTGTTCTTTACTGCTTTTAAACTTACTGTCTTGTAGAAAGTCAGATACGGTGTCATAACATTCACTGTGACATTGAGTATCTGCTGCCAGAATTTCAATTGGCATCAGAGCAGGCACCCTGCCTGTCTTACTGGGTGAGATCTAGGGATATTATTTTCTGGCGCTATGGACAAAGAAGTAGTTTTTGGAAACAGACCACCCATTCTGGATGGATCAAATTATGACTACTGGAAACCTCGTATGATTGCCTTCTTAAAATCACTGGACAAAAAGGCTTGGAGAGCTGCTGACAAAGGATGGAACCATCCCACCATAACTGAGAAAGATGGGACAATCAGTCTGAAACCTGAGGAAGAATGGAGCAAAGAAGAAGATGAGTTAGCCCTGGGTAATTCCAAAGCCTTAAATGCTTTATTCAATGGAATTGATAGAAACATATTCAGACTAGTACATCAATGTGAACTAGCCAAAGAAGTTTGGGACACTCTCAAAACTACTCATGAGGGCACATCCAAAGTAAAAATGTCAAGGCTTCAGATGCTGACTACCAAATTTGAGAACCTAAGGATGATGGAAGATGAGACCATTCATGAGTTTCACATGAACATCTTGGAGATTGCCAACACCTCAGGAGCATTGGGAGAAAATATGTCAGAAGAAAAGCTGGTGAGAAAGATTCTCAGATCCTTGCCTAAAAGATTTGCAATGAAGATGACTGCTATAGAGGAAGCTCATGATAT